AAAGTTCAAAGAGTTTTTGGGAGAGCTGTCAACAGCTCGTGTGTTGATTTTTCCGAATCCGACAGAACTATTCGTTGTGTTTTGTGATGCTTTGTCAATGTGATTAGGAGATATGTTAAGTGTAACATCAGCGAGTTTTAGTTATGCTTTAAGGCAATTTAAGGTACATAAGAGGGATTATCTGACGAGTGATTTAGAGTTGGTTTTTTGTGATATGAGTTTGGTGTGTGAAGAGACTTCTTATGGAGTTAAGCTAGTATGTTGGACCTTACCAGTGGGATTCTTGATGAGATTCGATGAGGTCAGAACTCTGGTTTGAGTTGGTAGATTGGTTGAAATTGATAAATTAAAGTCGAATGGCTGATTTTCGGATTGATGGAAATGGTATCATGAGATGTCGTGATAGAGTTTGTGTTCTAGATATTATTAAGTAGAATAAGAGTATTGAGGTAGATGGAGTATCCATCCTGGTTCTATGAAGATGTAACCGGATTTGAGGAAATTATTTTGATGACCATAGATGAAGAGAGAAGTGGTTGAGTTTGTATATGCTAGTTAGACTTGTCAGAAATCGAAGAATAAACGTCAGAGACCGTTGGGTCTGATGCAACTGTTGGATATTCCAGGGTGGAAATCGGGTAGTATTTCCATGGATTTTGTATTAGGTTTTCCGAAGAATTTGAGGGATATGATTTTAATTGGGTGATTTTGGATAGATTGACTAGATTGGCTCTTTTCTTACCAATGAGGATTAATCATTCTATGTTGAAGCTAGCTGAGATGTATATCGATAAAGTTGTGAATTTGTATGAGATATCGCCGAATATTGTGTCAGATGGAAATCTGAGTTTTCATCGAGATTTTTGGGAGAGTTTGCAGATGCTTTGAGTACCATGTTGAAGACGAATTCTGCCTATCATTCGAGGACGGATGGACAGACAGAGAGGATTATCCAGTCTTTAGAGGATTTGTGGAGAGCTTGTGTGTTGGATCAAGATGGATCGTGGGATAGTTAATTATCGTTGATTGAGTTACCTACGATGACAGTTATCATTCTGGTATCGGAATGGCACCATAGGAGGCTGTGTATGGTAGGAGGTGTAGGACTCCTTTGTGTTGATATGATTCAAGCGAGAGTGTTGTGCTCGGACCTGAGAATTGTGTAAGAGACGACTAAAAAGATCAAGAAGATCCAAGAAAAGACGTGTTTTGAGAGTTACGATGGTGACTGGTGTTGGTCGAGCTTTGAAGTCTCGGAAGCACACACTATATTTTGTTGATTTGTATCGGAAGTGGCGCAGCGGAAGCGTGGGAGAAGTAACATGTTAGACTGTTTTACCGATGTTGCTTGTGAATTTACATGACGTGGCATGTGCCTAAGTTGAGGAAGTGCATTTATTCAGATGGATGATGTACAGGTGAGAGATAATTTGACTATTGAGGCATTTCTAGTTCAGGTTAATGAACGAGAAGCAACTTCGAGGTAAAGAGATTCCTTTGGTGAAGTTAGTTTGGGAGGACCAGCTGGAGAAAGTTGGATTTGGAAGTGGGAGATCAGTTGAGGGAGTCGTATCCGACTCTATTCCTCGAGGTAATTTTCGAGGGCGAAAATTCTTTTAAGTGGGAGAGAGTTGTAACACCCCAAATTTAAGCGGAATATTTTAATTAATTATTTAATTGAGAATATTCGTATTTTGGGTGGTTTTCGGTGGTTTTGTGGATTATTGAGAAAAGGTGCATTTTTGGACTATTTATTTAATTAATAGTATACTATATGAGAATATTAGTATTATTATTGATTTAAAATGAATATTAGTGAAATAAGGGTAAATTGGGCATTATGAAGAGTTAGTAAGGGTGTTATGGGAATATCCCAATTGTGTGGCCCAAGTCCAAGTTTGACAAAATAGAATTTTAAAGGTTTGGGATTCATTTTGTTAACCGTGAAAAGAATGGAGGCCAGAGCTCTGAGGAGGGATCAGTGGAGGCAAAAGCTTCAGAAGGTTGTCGGAGTTAATCGTGAAAGCTTTGAATCGGCTAAGGTATGGGGAGTATCGCATTTCATGATTTTCTATGTACGTCTTTCGGTGTGTTTATGGTGAAGTTTATGATTTAGGGTATTTTGGGTTGATCGTGGGAAATTAAGGGGAACTGATAATGAAACCTTAGGGGTTGTGGTTAGTGGTTAGTATTCCTGATTGTTTGATGTGTAACATGAGAAAGGAAACCTTAGGCCTTCGTGGCCAAAAACCTTGGATTGTGATATGTTTGACCCTGTAGGGATATGAATATTCAAATGTGAGTAACTCTGATGCACTCAGAGCAATTGCAGGAAAATAGTGTTTTAGGCAGTCCAAATGTTGCCAGATTAGCCTAATAAACTATAGATTTTGTGTTGTTATTGCCGTATGACCTTAGGGATGATTTAGTGATGTTTTAGAAGCATTGAGAAATTGAATCGTATGAGAATTTGGGCAGAATACAGTTCTGACCGTAGCAGGTTTTTGCTGTCATCGTAGCACTCGCTAGAGACTCGCCTAGCGAGCAGTCAGCGAGCATTCGCTAGAGACTCGCCTAGCGAGCAGTCAGCGAGCATTCGCTAGGGACTCGCCTAGCGAGCAGTCAGCGAACGTAGCAGAGTTCACGAAATGTGATCCTTGTGCAGCGATGCCTTGGTGTTTGATTCTGGGATTTTAGTGATGAATTACTAGGAATATGGCAGTGGGTTTTTGGTGATATGTACACGATGCTATGATGGTTTCTATGATGTATTGATTGAATTAATATGATGAAATAATATGAGGAATGATGAACTATGTGATAACATGATGAATGATGAATTATGTGATAATATGATGAATGATGATGCACCATATGTTGTATTGTGAGGATTATTATTGTGACGTGTGCATCATACATTCATTTGCATCCGGACTTCGGTTCAGGACCTCGATTATTATGACTTCAATCTCATTGTGTGGATGTGAAGTGTTGTGACGTGCTCCGATCCTAACGATGGGGATCTATGGAGGGTTAATGGCCTAGTGTCCATCGAGATGTGATGATTGGTACCACATGCATTGGGTTGTGTTGCATATTGCATTCATGAGTTCTTCTGTGTGAATTATGAAGTTGTGCCTTCGAGGCGTATTTTAAAAGGGTATCAATGTGTAGAATATAAATATGACGCCGTTTATGCATTAATTGTTATACATTGATTATTATGAATTGTTTTACTCACCCTGCCTGTTTGAATGTTACCTCCACGTGGTTAACATGCAGATGAGCAAGTTTAGCCGTGGATGCCGTCGAGGAGTATTTTGAAGTTTTAGAGTCGTTAGCCTTTATGGTTAATTTAGAGGGTCTTGCTCTGATATGTAAAATCGGGTTGGGTTCTTTGAGTTGATTTTATATCATTGGGTTATTTTACTGATGTTTCCTTTTGAGGAGAAACCTTGATGTATGCTTTGAGTTCCGTTGTTTTATGTTGTTTGATGTACTTTGAGGAAAACCCGTCGTTACGGAGTATTGACCAATTTTGTTGACTTTGAGAAATGTACACCCTTTTGTGCCTTTTTATGAAAGTTAATATTTTACTCTGAAATTCGTGTTATTTTGCTGTAATATCTGTGGGATAGAATAAGGGTGTTACACCAACCACATAAATAATCTAATTCTCTCTGATACATTTAGCTTCCAAATCTTCCTCCACACCTCATCCTCCTTCTTATCATCAAAGTCTGATAGTATTTGATACATTTCTTTCACTGAAAAGGCGTCATCACTAATATCCGCAACAAGAAATTTATTGTACTCGTAATTTGTACTTGAGAAGACACAAGTTAAATTTACAGAGCTCGATTGAGACATCCAACTCTACAACTTTTATCAATCTCGCTCACCATTATTATCAACTGAATCGATCACCTTCGCTCCAATTAAATCATCAAGTAGGTGGTCGTCTAATACAATTCAACAACTTGTTGAGACAAGCTTGGGCATTTGTTTCACAATCTCCTTCCACAAGCTTAAGTTTGTTCCTCTATAATGTGAAGCTCATGCACGTCCATGTTTTTGTATCTACTTCTAAGCTCTTTTGATTTGCTGAGAATCTTCCATCAATGTTTTATAATACAAACTTTGTTCATGACCTCCATATTCCTCAAGCCAAACCCTCCTTATTGATTTAGGCTTGGTTATCATTTCCCGCCTTAATATTATGAAATCGAAAAGTATTTAACAATACCTAAATCCAATAAGTGACTAACATTGTTGATGAGATTAATACTATGAAATCTAATAACTATATAATATTAAATAATTAATTATTTTGGTTTCAATGGGACACAAGTTGGTCTATCTTGTGTATTGTCGTATTTTCATGTTCAAATGATTTATGGCTCTTGGATTAACGTTGTCAAAATATCATTAGTGACTCAAATATACGGTCCAACCGTTTTACCTTGTTGGTCACGTTATTCTGCTATTTCTTAGCAACCTCCCCAAACTTCTGACCGCAAATTTCCGGTCAAGAATTTTTTTTCTCCCCTTCTTTTTCTTCAAATAAAACATTATAAACAATTATAATTTTTCCCAGCTATATCGGAGAATCTTATGTTATACTCATATTAAATTTAATAATAATAATTCAAGCAGCTCAATGAAAAGTTTCCAATTGAACTAATGGATAGACATCAAACCAAACCTTAAAAAAAAACACAATAATCTAATTTAAAGTTCTTCACCATAAAAATCAAATACTGTGAGTTTTGCAAAACTGAAACATGATTTCAAGGGTTAAATCCTCCAATCAATCTAAATATTATATATATTGAACATATAATGACATGATGATTCTATAAGGTAGTATATATTTATCTTTACAAGATGAAGACATAAACTAGAATGGTTTTTTTGTTGAAAGTAAAGCCAACTGGTAGAATACACATTCCAACTTGGCATGAGTTAAGCCATTTGTACTATACTACTCTTTTGATCAATCAAACCCTTAATGCCACTTGGTCTTGCCATGTGATCTTCCTTTTCCCTGCCCTACTTGATCCTTCTCCAAGGTTTCTACAAACTGAAAGCTTGATATCATTGTGCTGTTCCTCATTCACACCTCTTTGTGTACTACTCTTCTTTTGTTCTTCAATCCACATTGACTGATTGTTCCCCTCTAGTTCCTCCTCTTCTCTCTGCATCAAAGAAACAAAATAGAAGAAAACTATTAACAAACTTGTCTATTTCGATGAATTTGATTTTATCTATACCGGTACAAGCACTTAGAAACTGTTATACAGAGCTCGTTGAAACACAAATAAGGACTCATAATGTAAACAAAGCATGTAATAAGAAATAATTACCGAAATCTGGTTCAAGTCGAAAAATGGAGTTACACTCTTCTTTGTGGCCTCTTTCCCACTTTGAACCCTATCTTTGTGATTCAAGTCAAGCACGGGAGAAGAAGAGCTATGAAAAGAACCATCTTTTGTACTTAAGCTTCTACCATTATGGTTTAAATCAAACACAGGTCCAGTGTTATGCCTTGGGTCTTCAACTCCATTGAAAGTTCTTCCTTTTGATTTTGATTTTGATTTCGAAGCGGTGTGAGGCCGCAAAGTAGATTCCTTTCTATTGTAATTCCTTCCCTTTGTGATCTTTGGCTCTTTGATTTTGTGCGCTTGTGGCTTCATTACTTCTTGCTTTGGTTGAGGCTTTGGGAGAGGATGTTTTAACAAGTATGCATATCGTTGCCTCAAGAATCTGTAGTTAAAAGTGATGGTGATAAATAAGCTCTGAGTATTGACTAATCAACTTAAAACAATGAAGAACATAAAAAACAATTAAGTATCATTAGACATTACCTAACGTCAGCTGAAAGAATCAACTTTTTCTGCTTCACAGCTTCCAATTTCATTCTCATGGCTTCTGTTTCCTGAAGAACATAATATCAAAATCATGAGAAGAGCTTTTCCATAATCTAATAAACAGATATGCAAAAAAGTCCTTTACAACAAACTCAAACAAAACAGAACGTGAAATTAGGTGCTAATTATCATAACAAACCTAAACAAAATCACCCCCTCCAAAGAAAGAGGTTAATCATCAATTAATTGATAAACTCTTAACTTTGAGATTAAAACTTCTAGGGAAAACATGATATATGAAACAAAAACTTCAAAACTAATAAGCTTAAACACCAAAACTTGATGAACTTGTAAACAAAAAAAATTACAAAATCACACTCCTACAGAACAAAACAAGGAAACCCTAGAATATACAGAAAACCCACAAAGATGAACATCGAAACACATCATCAAACCAAGATCGGAGGTTAAATCAAAACAATCATCAAACACCAATATCAAAACATAATATCCCCTTATTAATTTCTCCAACAAACCCTAAATTCAACCAAAACAATACAAAAACATAAGATCCCTCTTAGGTTTTCATCCACAAACCCTAAATTTCCAGAATCAACAAAAAAACGATCATGAATCCAAAAACACGAAAGAAAAATCCAGATCCGTTAAAATCGATGAAATAAAAACTGAATCTTAGGGTTACCGTATGCAAATCTTGATAGTCCTGCAAGAGACTCCGGTGTCTCATCATGGATCTCTGATCCATAAACACATCGGAAGAAGGATTCATTGAAACAGCAACACCTTTCATCTTCTTCATCACGAGATCAGAGAAGAAAAGAAAACAAAAATCTAGAGAGAGAAAGAATAAGAAAGGTCACAGAGGAAGAGAGAGATATAAAGAGAGAGAGTAGAGAAGAGAGAAAAAGAAGAGGCGAAATAATAGGCGAAATAATAAAGGAAGAAAGAAGGGGAAAGGGTTAAGAAGGTTCTCGTAATTCTGTGAAACTCTGACCAAGAGAAAGAAACCGAAAAAGCCCACATAACTCGGTGAAAAATATTCTTGTTTTGAAAAACCAGTGATGAAGATGGGATTTTTTGGGGGCTTGCAGAAGGGTAATATGGGGAACATTTTTTCATGAGAGAGAGAGTAATAAGGTGGGTTTGGTTGGAGGACAATTGAACACATCTAATCTATATCATAACAAGACCTCTATCTTTTGTTTCCCATTCTTTCTCTCTTTTTTGTTTTTCTTTCTTCAAACTTAATTTTTGGTCCAGCTGGGCCATTGATGAGAGAGAAAGGGTGTGTTGTGGTGTGGACTAGAGTTTCCATGTTTCTTGTTTGATTGTTTGTGTAGAGAGAGAAATAATGGAATGGGTCAGAGATTGAAAAAAAAATATAGATTAGATTAGGGGCTGGAAAAAGAAAGAAAAAAAAATAAAATGAATGAGATGATGATGTTAGTTTTCTTTTCTCCTGCTACTATTCTGTAGCTGTGGTTTGTTACAACAAACCTTATTTTTAGGGTTGGTTTTTGTTTTGTTTGTTTTGGACTTGGTTGGTTGTGTTTTGTGAATGTGACTTTTTCTCTCTCTTTCTCTTTTATTTACTATTATGCCCTTCTCATTTGATGTTTTTGACTCACTTATCCTGTCTGGGTGGAGAAACCCAATATGGCTTTTTTTCATGATGAAGCAAAAGGAGGTAAAGTAATAAAGAAGAAAAAACCCAAAACACCCATTTGGTTTGGTCAATTATTTTTGTGGGTGATAGTGATGATTCTTTATATATTAGTCTCATCATCTTTACTTTTTCTCTCTCTCTAGTATAGGATGAGAATGAGGGGTGGATTAGGTACTTTGTCTTGTACACTCACTTATCTTTATATTTAATGTTTTCCTCCATCTTCATCCATGGAAATGGAAAGATCCCACCATTACCTACTTTCAGGACTTTATAGTAGGTGCCACCAGCCTACCTACCTAATAGCCACTGCTACTATTCATTGAAAGCTCCATTTTTTATCTACATAAATTATCCTTCATAATATTACTATACAATAAGGGACAACTCCGACCCATTTTATTTTTCTTTATTAGTTATTGCTTTTTATTTTCTTTTTTAATGTTATTTTAATAAATTATTTCTTTACAACTATCTATATATTATTGATCGCAGGCCTAACTTTTTTAAATAATTGTTTTGAGCTGCTAAGAAGATCCAATATAACGGTGAAGAGAAAAGGCAAAGTAAACGAGTGTCACGGATATGTGTTCTTCGATTTCATCTAATTTTTTTAAAATAATTGTTCATATCAATGCAACGATCCGTTTCCACCGTAAAAGAGAGAATGCGTGTCACTGTGTATTAGAGGGACAACCTTACATGATAACTATTTTTTTCTCTATTAAAATAAAGTATTATTTATCATTTTACCAATTATTTTTAGTTCTGTTGTAAAACGATGTCGTCAATAAAAAATAAAATTATGAGATAAAAATTGAGTTTTTTAAACAAGTACAAAAAATTCTATTAAGTTTCAGAAATGAGAGAGAAGAAGGAAGAAGAATAAGAATTAATTAAAATTGTTTTACTATTCACTTGTAATCTTTGAACATTTAATAAAAAAATGAATAGTAAGTTAACTTAGGTTCAAAGATTACACGTGAATACCAACAATTAACATCTCTTAACAACTTGAGAGAACTAGTCTGTTTATAGACTACTAAGCTAACTTAACAATTGGACTTACAAGCAAGGCTCGATTCGACATGTTAACTTAAACAAAAAGCTAACATATTTCGACAGCATGCTTGAACAAACTTCAACTACAGTATGCACAACTCCTGTCGAACCATAAATTTACCCTTGTCGACACTAGAGTTCAATGCAAATACTACAAATCTCCACCTTGGAACAAACTATATACTAACAAGGAAACATATTAGCTTTCATAATGCAGCTTAATCAACTGCATACAGTGGAAAAACTTGCTACTTGGTGATCATATCAATAGCATTGTTATTAGTCGAAACCTTCAGCACTTGGACTTCTCCATGCTCGATTATCTTTTTGACGAAGTGCATCCTCAAATTGATGTGCTTAGCTCCCTCATGATAGGCTGAATTCTTCGACAGGTGTATTACACTTTGACTATCACATTTAACAGTGATAACTCGATCTTGAAGTTTCAGCTTCTTTTACAGCTTTAGTGAGGTCGATATATTGCGCTTTAGTGGTTGGTAAGGCAACAACCTTCTGAAGTGTCACTTTTCAACTGATTGTTGTGCCGAACATAGTGAACATATATCCATAAATAGATTTTTTGGAATCCATACAACCTGCATAATCAGAATCGATAAATCCTTCGATTTCGACAAAAATGGTTAAGATTCAGAAATTGAATCACTTTTAGTCAAATTCAATATTTATTTCAAAAGTCAGTGGTCAAATTCAGAGATTTGATTCATTAGTAGTTTCATTCATCCAAAGATCCAAATTGATCCCTGATTCAATTTTATTTCTTGATATTTAATTCAAGATCTTAGTTGTTTCAAATTTGATTCATGAGATTTTTTGGGGTTTAATTGGAAATTCAAGTGTAATGGTTGTAATCAGGAATCGAGGATTATAAAGAATTTAAAGTTCTCATAATTAAATGGTTAGGCATGATTCAAGAATCAAATGTGAAAATGCATACAAAGTTATTCAAAGTCCAAATTCAATTTACAAAATAGGCCCAAGCCCAAATTTGTTTCTACAAAAAGTCTTTAGTCCAAATTCAAAAATTCAAATCCATTACACCAATACAAGCCCATTATTCCAAAGTTCGTTTTACCAAAAATTGCAACAACAAAAAAAAAGAGCCATGTGAACAACCAAACTTCAGCCTATGACAAGCCTTTACATTAAGCTACTACATGCTACAAAGTTTACAAGCGCGGGCCATGCTTCAAGTTGCTACTCCACATGAACCACACTTAAGCCACTACAAATACTTCCATCCAACTTTTTCAAGTCATCAATGAAAAACGTCAGCACGCACATGAAATGTTTCAATCAATAACGTCAGCAGTATAAATTCAAAAACGACAAATTCAATCAAATTCCAATCTCACCTCAATTCCCTTATAAATAATTGCCTCTCCTTCCTCATTCCTTCAAGCTCTTGGAAGCAAAACTTGCTCTGCCCAATTGAATTTCAAACTTTCATCAACTTTTCAAACCTCAAATCACCTTCAATAATACTCTTCAACCCAAACTTTCATCTTCTCCACAAATCAACTCAAATTAATAACCTTCAAATTCAAAACCTTCCACAACCTTCAATTTAACCAAATTACAACAATATTTCGAAATCGCCATTAGAAATCGAAAACAGAAACGAAAGAGATAAAACACAAACTGTGTGATAGAGAGAAAGATGAGATTGAGAGATGAAATGAGGAGCGAGATTGGGAAACGAAATAAGGAGAAGCAAGAACGAGAAAAGAGGGTGTGATTTCACAGAAATAATGAGATAGAGGTTGGTAGTCTGCGAAGGAGAATGTTATTTTTGCTTCTTGCTGATTTGTTTTTTTACTAATCCATTGCCTTGTTGGTTTGGGCTTTTGAAGCCCATGTAGTTTCCACTCAACACCCTTGGGCTTCTTATGCCACCCCTTTTTCTATTTGTTATTTCTTTTTTTTCTTCTTTGTTTTGAAAATTTCTAATTTTTAATTTTTGTTTAAGTAGTTTAAAGTTTAAATTTCTTGTGATTTCAATTGCCTTTTTTTGTGTATTTTCATTTCCTTAGTAATTTTATTTTCATCTTGTTTATTTCATTTTGATTTTATTTTCTTTTTTTCACTTTTGGTCAATGAAATCTTAAGATCATGGATTGTTGGCTTTCAAAGTTGTTTAACCTTCATTATTCTAAATCTGTGGTGGAATGATCATTTGGATCATTCTCTATACTTTGGGATTGTGATAAGCTTCCTTTGATTAATCGATGGAAGTTCTTGATTAAGATGAGACCATTCTCTTTTTTCTTTCCATGTGGCATTGCTTTAGGAGAATGATCTGCATATTATTTTTCTAACATGTTTTAACACAAATGTTGTTATTGAACGGCCTCCCATAGTATGATCTTCCTCATAGATTTTGCCATGGTTGCTTAACATAGCCTTAAATTATTCCCGATTCGAGAAATTGATCAATCCAATCAATAACAATTAACAACTAACATCTAAATTTTACATTTCCACTCTTTACTAGTCTTTTTATTCATTTATCATGCCTTTATCATTATGTCATATTCATCTTTGTTCATCTCATTAAAATACAAAAACATGATAAAAAATAAAAACCCTAAGAAATGTTTAAGCTTGGATTATGGTTACTATCCCTATAATCATGGAGTTGGACCTTGTACATAATGAAGGTGAGAAAAGTACACAAGAAGGGCAGTTGAATTGTGTTTTTCGTTTTCTTAGTTTGCATTTGACCAGAGTTCAGAATCTAAACTAGTGTTCATATTCTGGTTAATTCCTATCAGCGCAATGTTAACAGAAGTAAATAAATAATAGCAGAAGACAAACATATTTATACTGGTTCCTCCTTAAACTAAGAGTAGTTCAATCTCCTTGTTTAACAAGATTTTTTCACTATAATCAAAACATGATTACAATCACTTATGCATTTTGCATAAGAGTTTTACATTTACTCAGACCCAAGGTCCAAGACTTCTGCTCAAGCTCCTCACTCGACACTTCCTGCTCGGGTTCCACGAACCCAAGAATTCTTTGCCCAGGCCCTCAGCCCAAGACTTCTACTC